CCTCTAAAAGAGTATTTTTTCAATTGAATATTTTTCTGAAGGAATACTTTTTCAAAAAATATTTTTCTAAAACAATGCTCTCTGAAAAGTATATTTCCAAAGAAATACTCTTCTAATGAAATTGTTTTTCAAAAGAATATTTTTCTGAAGAAATATTTTCTTAAAAGAATATTTTTTTAAATGAATACTCTTCCAAAAAAATATTTTTTTTAAATAAATATTTGACCAATGGAATATTTTTCCAAATATTTTTCCACTTCTGTAAAAATTTACAAAATTAATGTAATATTCCTGCAGCATTCCGAAGTATGCCTAATCATTTTTAAATATTCCCACTTATTATTTAAATATAATGTTAACGTAGTATTTTTCAATTATTAATTCTTACAATTATTCTTCGAATTTCAAATAATATTCCCTAAATATTCCAAAAAATTATTCATCTATTATGCTTGTCAGGGAAATAATAGTAATAATTATAATAATAATATTAATAATAATAGTAGGTATCAATAGAAAAAACAATAATGAAAATAAAATCAATGAAAATAATAATAACAGGCATAAGATAATACAGTTCCCTATATGTAATACAACGGAATTGAGCGTTCGTTATTTTCTGTCTGACTAAATATTGACTTGAACCACTTAATTATGCAAATCGATCTTGCGCAATATTTCCGATATCGATATAATGATTTAATAAATAATGAAGAACTTGTTAACAATTCTGTTTGTTAAAGGTCCCTTGTAATATATATCGAAAAGCGAAATATCCTGCGGTTTTTCTTTTGGTCTATTCTAATGAGATTTAGGTAAGCGGATTGACTTGAAACTGGAAATTCAAAGCATTATTCCCCTTTCGTTTTCCCCCACGGGACCTGCTGTCATTTTCTCTGATACCGACAGCTTTTCCATCGGATTAGTTAAATCCTAAAATATATTTCACAACCTTCAACATGGTAATATGTATATATATATATATTTTTTTTGAATTTGCAAAAGAAAAAAAAATTATTCGCAATTATTATCGATTGTATATTTCTTATTTATCCAAAAACACTAGTACGTATAAGTAAATAATTCAACAAATAAATACTTATTATGTTGTTTACCAGAAAATATAGATAGCTATTAAATTATAATATACATACAAATATTAAATGTGTATATAAATCAAGTATATTATTAAGATGTATAATAAAATACAGAGATTTAGAAATCCTCATCGATAATTTAATTGTAATTGATAATGTAATTATTATAAATATTAAATGTATACAGGTTGTCTTACAAGACTGTCAATAATCTTATCTGCCTTTGAGTGTATACTCTATTATCAAGAATCTTGAGAGAGATTTATAGGCATAAAAAATTGAGATATGTACTATAATATATATATGCGCGCATACGCAATGAAGATAACACTTTGAATACATTAATTTCCCCATGACAATACTTCAACTTATAATGGGACATTTTTTCGAAGGGAAAATAATGATAAATTTATGAGTTGAGGTTAATTTAATGATTTGCTAGTACATAGCCAGTATTATGAGATAAATTTTGTGCTATAGTAAATCTATTTAGAAAAGTCAGACACAATTCGTTACTAAACTGTATATGGCAGTTTATTTAATAGAAAATGGTAAAATAGTAGAAATAAGTATCAAGCCAATTTTAAGCCAGGATTACGCCAGTAGATGGAAATTTTTTTTAGTATCGAGTAAAATATATATTAATTAATTATTGATTATACTGATTTTTTAAAGCTAAATTCTGGTTGCATATGTTATACTAAATATGCCAACTTTCGAAAAATGGTTGTATACTAGCTAAATACTGGTAATCATACAATTGAAATATTATTCAAAACTGCGTATTCGTTAACTGACTTGGAAATTAATTTCCATCAGTATATACTATTTAGCATAGAGTTTATTCGAACATGACAGTAAGCTAAATAGAATTTCAAAACTGGTTACAAACTGGCTTGAAACTGGTAATTATTATTTAATCAAATTACTTTTCGATAATATTCAGAAATATATCTAGTATTGTTATTACGACTTCTAGTACTTAATTGCAATTAGTATTTCATTACAAGTTCGCAATTAAAAACAAAGATGAATTTTTAATACTGGTTAAAAACTGGCTCAAAACTGGTAGCAGATATCCTTTCGCTACGAGTCAGTATGCAATCAAAGTATTTAAATATATAAACATTCCGAGTCAAATAAGATAACATTTTACTTAAAACTATAAAATAAATTTTTTCAAAACTATAAAACATGAAGATATCGATAACTCCGAGTCTTCAACTCGAATAGTCATCGATTTCTTCATGTTTTATAATAATTAAAAATGACCGCGTAATAAAATCATTATTTTATTTTATAACAATATTGTTACTGTAAATTTTTCAAAATTATATTCCTTCATTTCAATTTAAATTTATTATTATTTTTCACAATTTTTAACTAAAATTCTTCTTTAAATCAATTATTTTTAAAAATTTTAGAAAAAATTCATTTTGAGAATTTTTAAATTCATTTGTTTACAATTCAATTTTATGTGAAATTTCGATTATTTTGAGAAAATTTTTGAAAATAATTGAATTTCTGCGAAAAATTTTGATAATTTTCAAAATAATTCAATTTTTGTGGTGAAAAATTATGAAAATAATTGAATTTTACAAAGAATTTTATTAAAATTTCAAAACATAAATGAATTTCTGGGAAGAATTTTGTTATTAAACACAATATCAACAATAAATACATAGATCAACAATAGATCATAGATCAACAATAAATATTTCCATCTTCTATATTAAACACAATAATTGAATGCTTTGAAAGAATTAAAATTAAAATTTAAAAAAATAATAATTCTGTAGATATTGTTATAGTTAAAAGTATGAAAAATCAAATTTTCAAAGATTTTATGTCAATATTTATTAGAAAATTCTACGAGAATTCAATTATTGAAATACGAAAATAAATGAATTATTTAATATTGAATTAATTAAGAATTTATTTATCAACAAATTTTTAAATAATTGAATTTTTCGACGAATTTTAATAACATTTTTACGAATAATTTAAAATAATTGAATTGATACGAATAACTCCATTTTATAAAGATTTACAAAAATAATTAAATTCTAGCAACGAATTTTATTAAAATTTTTAAAAATAATTTAATTCTTACGATGGACTTTAATAATTTTTTTTTAAATAATTAAATTCTAGCGAAGAATTTTTAAATAATTGATTTCCTTCGAAAAATTTTACGAAAATTGTATTTGAAAATAGTTAAATTCTTGTTAAAATTTTATTATTTATGAGAATAATTGAATTCCTAAAAAGAATTTTTGAAAAAATTATTATTGCGAAAAAGTTCATAAAAAATTTGTAAATTATTGAATTTTTGAAAAGAATTTTATCAAAAAATTTGATAATAATTGAATTTCTTCGAAGAATTATATATTATTTATGAAAATAATTGAATTTTTGGGAAGAATTTTATTAAAATTTTTGATAATCCTGATTAAATTCTTATGAAGAGTTTCTTTGAATGCTTTCGAAAAATGTGATTAACATTTTTTTTTTAAATTAAATTCTTTAATGAAATTTTATTAAAATTGTATTAAAAATAATTGAATTTTTGCAAAGAATTTGACTATTTATGAAAATAATTGAATACCTTTGAAGAATTTTGTTATTTCTCTATTAAAGAATTGCATGTTTTCAAGAATTTTATTAAAATTTTTGAAAATAATTAAATTTTGGAGAAGAATTTTAATATTTATAAAGATAATTAAATTTTTGATGAGAAATTTAAAAAATTTTTGAACATAATTGAATTTCCGCAAAGAATTTTATTACTTTACAGAATAACACAAGAATTCTGTTTTCACAAAACTGGCTGACGGACAATATAAAAAAAAAAACTGGTCCGGAACTGGCTAAATACTGTCAAATTTTGAGGAAACTATTTTTAAACATAATTTTGTAAACAAGTACTCGTTAAAAAACTACAAATCCGCATAATAAAGATTTTATCGAAAATAAATATTTAAACTTCCTTTTGACACTTATCTAAAAAGTAAATTAATTGACTAATTAATTTATACAAATTAGAAGATTAATTATAAATTCCTGAACCGGTTTATCAGGAAAATATATTCATAAGAAAGGGCATATAGTTTTAACGTTTAAAGTGAGCGTGACCTGGGAGCTAAAAATCCATAATTTGTTAGACTGCATTCTTTCTTTTGGAACAAAAATTTTCTTTCTTTTCCGCTCTCTTTTCCTCCTTTTTCCACTTTTCTTCTTCTTTTTCTTACTTTTCTTTTTTTTTCTTATACTCTTCTTCTTTTTTTCTCTTTTCTTATTTCTTTTTCTCCTTTTTCCTCTTTCTATTTCTTTCTCTTTTCTTCTGTCTTATCGTCTCTTTTTTCTCCTCCTCTTCCTTTTCTTCTTTCTTTTTGCCTCTCTCTTTTTGTCGCCAAATAAGATTTTGATACGTCAATCAGCAATTTCTCATGAGGAGGCTCGAGATTCGGATATTAATAACGCATAGCTTCATCCATCTAATTCTAGCCGAGAGCATATTCTGTCTCTCTCTCTCACTATATACTTGGAAGCCATCAATCCAAATGGACAACTAGGGCCCAATAACCAGAATTGCCAATCAATTCGCGCATTGCGCGCCCGGGAATTAGACAATTAGGAGTCGTCACGTTCTATCCATCCCTCTCCGGTTTCTCCGTGTCACTGTATATACATATATATATAAATTCCCTTGCCTCTCTCCGCAATATAATATATCCCCCCCCCCCCATCACCCACCGGCTGGTTTCGTCTCTCTTGTCAGTTCCAAGTTGGGCGCGCTGGAATCGCTTGTACGAAGGGGAAGCAAAGGCATACTTACGGAAGTTTCAATTTCCCGCGCGTCCGATTGGTCGACATAGATCAACTGACACGCCCCTCACTAAAGTACCCGGCAGTCGCGCAAACGTGTTCGTATTGGTCCGCATTCACCGCTTACTGGATCTCCGGCTTTTGCGGGGGCGGTGCAGCATCAGCAACACCGATGCTCGGGCTTTCCGCTCCCGGAGCAGGGACCTGGTAATCAGTGCCGTTTCCGCGGCAGTAGCGGCTACCACGCGATTTTACATAACCCTTTTGACCCTAATTTGTTTTATTTCTTTTTTTTCCGTTTTGCGGAATCCTCTCATATGATTCCGTCCTTTTTCGTTGTTTTCAATTTTTCATTTTAGGCTCTATAATTACAATTGTGCTTCGTGGAATAGTGTTATCGCTAAAAACAGGATTGAAGTGATTTTCCCGTAATTTGGGGACAAATTTTTACTGCGATGATCCAAAATGTTTGAAGGAGCTTACTAAATAAGATTAAAGAGATTTACTGATCTGGAAAGGATTACTGTTGATGATTCGAATGATGATGCGAAAGGAATACTGATTATGGTGATTTGAAAGGAGTAATGATGATTTGAAAGGATTGACAATTGAAAAGGATTTAATCTTGAAGAGGAATATTGATAATAGAAAAGGATTGATGATGAAAGAAACCGGCGATTGTTGGTATGTTTAGGGATTTGGCGAAATGATTCGCTAAGAGAAAAAGAGGACCTTTTGTCATGTGACAAAAGTTAACAAGTGGGTGTTTTTTTGGTGTTATTGTTAAGGAATGAGATCAACTTGTCGCGAGTCTTGATAGTGATTTTTGTCAGCGGTGCTGATGGACATCGGCGTAGGTGACGATCGGCAGGAATGAGTAGAGAAGGAACGGTAATGCAGGAGCCGGAGGCCTATGAGGATATGGATATGGCTACCGCGACGTCAGCATCCTCGACATTAAAGCCCCGCAGTGGGAAAATAAGTTTTAGCGTTGATTCGCTGTTGAGCAGTACGAAGAAGTCGCCGACGGCTGCGTTCGGCCGAAGGGACTCGGAGTCTGATCGACTCGAGGCGGACAAGAATTTTGAAATGGAGGCGAGATATCGTGAATTGCTCCTGGAGCAACAACGTCTTCAGAGTAGAGAACTTTTGGCGAGATTGAGTCCTCATGGTGTGGCGGCGTTTGGTCATCATCATCATCATCAGAGGACGTCAATGTCCGAGCATCATCGGCAGGAGATGTTGACTGTTAAGGATTTTTCGAGGACCAATCATGATAAATCATCGTCGCCGATCAGAATTGAATTGGAGCAGAGGGACCAGGACGATGGGAGCGGTTGTGTCTCGCCGGATAGTAGAATTAATAATGAACTTAGTAGGCGGGAGAGGCAGGAGGAGGACAGGGTTTTAAATCGATCGGTGTCGCCAATTCGAAGGGAGTTTGACGACAGGAGTGATTCGGACGCGAATCGATCACTCGAGGGTGATAGAACGACGGATCATCTCGATGAGGAGCACGAGATGAGAAGTGTGGGACAGAGCGAGGATTTGAATGTGATGGACTCGGACTGTGAACTTGAGAGGGACTTAGAATTGGGGAGTCAGGAGAAGGAGAAATCAAGTCCCGTGGTTCCCCAACCAATACACCCCGGGGTGCAAAGGTCCTCGGGGCCTTACCTTGGACACTCGGGGGGTCCCGGGTGGAATCCCGCAGGATTTCCGCATTCACTTGCCGGGTTCGCGTGGCTACCCCCACCCCCACATACGCACAATCATCATGGACACCTTTACACGTCACATGGAGGACCCACGAGTCCTAACGGTGAGTTTTCCGCATTTTGTTTTCAACTCATCTTTCTTTACCATTGCTGGTCAAATGATTCTTTATTCCCCATCTGTCTTTGTTTTCAAATCATTTTATTTCTCTTCTGTCGAAAAAACCAAGGCAAATGCCATAGTACTCCTAATTTCTAGTCTTAGAAATCTATTATTAAGAAAGTCCAAGATGCTAGTACTCCTAAATTCAAACCGTTTTATAAACACAATATTAATACTGAAAAATCCTATAACTGAATAACAACTAAAACGAAATTTTTAGTTGTTATTCAGTTAGGATTAAAGTATAAAATCCGTAGCCGTTGCAGGTTCTGCATTTTCCATTCGCAAACTTTAAAACCTTGAGAATATTTGTTTTCAATTACTTTCCAATTACTTGAACATCCATTAAAATTTACAGTAATTGTAAAGTAATTTTCGAACTTTAGAAAGTTATATCAACAAACTAGGCGTCTTTTGAATAATTCATCATAACTCCGCCGCAAAAGCGAAACAGGAAAGTCGAAAAATTTTTATATCCTCCGCGGTATATAAATACCTGGCGCTCACGTTATTTGGATAATTGGACATTTTACAAATTCCCGATTATTAAGAAATGAAAGAAACGTATATTTTCTTGCGCCGCTCATTGCAATATAGTTCATTGTATATACAATTTATATCGCGGACACAATAAAGCGTTTGACATATGGTCCATAATGATAATGGCCAAGCATCAAAATACATGTACATACATATACACAAACATAGATTCGTAAATCGAATTTAATTATGAATAATATATATGAAGTCGCGCAATTATGCGCACTATCATCATTGGCGACATATTTGCTTATTTCATATTATATATATGACACTTTTATAACTAACGATCAATTACTATACAATCTATTGTACAGTCTATTTATCGTATACGTATTTTTATCCCATTTTTTTTCATAAATTATACTTTATGAGATTTTTATATTTTTACGAATCATAATCTATAATTATTGTATATTAATTATTCTATATAATAACGTGGCATGAAGAAAATCATTATAGAGAGAGAGAAAATTTTCTTCTTCATTGTTTATAATTGGAACAAGTTGCATATATAGAAGAACAACTATAACACTTGAATGCGCGTTGTTTACGGCTAAACATATATATAAAATAATGTCATTTCGCTTAACAAATCTAATGATTTATTGATTGTATATTACGTCGCATGTGAGTTTATATACAATCTAAAGCGACTTTGTTGTTGCGATCATCAATTTAGAAATACACACATGAGTAAATGGTGCCATTTATCTTATTCAAAACTATTTTTATCTAATTAACTGCAACATTGGTGCGGTTTTTATCGTTTGGATTCATCTTGCGGAAGGTTAATTTAATTAGTTTGCGGTTTAATTTTAAAATTGACAGTCATTAAAAGGATATATATTTTTGACGTTTATCTGAATTGTGATTGCGTTGCAATGAACTGTCTTTTTATTCATGAACTTTTTTTTATTCAGTGACTATCATTAATTTAAAGTATTAGTATTATTAAGTAAAAACTGTTATTTGTCGTAATTGTTAGTTTTTAATTAATCCGTTAATTGAAATTATTGTTTGTTGATAATCATTCGTTATTTGTAGTTATTATTTTTAAATTAATCCATTGGTTAAACTGTTAAAATTAACTTTAGACTAAAACTATTATTTATTAAAACTATACTATTAGTTGAAACTACCAATGAACTGAAACTATCATTAACTGAAACTACCATCAGTTGAAATTGACAATTGGTTGAAACTAGTTTTCCTTAAAACTACCATAAGTTGAAACTGTTATTTATTAGGTCAACAATAGTTTATCATTGCGATGGTATCTAACTACCAATTTACTAAAACTACGATCAGTTAGAACTGTTATTTATTGAGACAACAATAATTTCAGGGCTCGGATTGTGCGATTTTTTCGACTTTATTTATTTATATATATATTTTTTTTTCAACTTTTGAACAAGGTGACAATTGTTTATATTAGACTTAATATTTATTTATTTGAAATTCATGTGCATTGCGCAATTTGAAAATTAGTGTTGCTGTCGACAATTTTTCTATATAATAGTTGATCCCGATTTTCCTAGACAATCGTTCGCGAGTCACGCGCGCAATGGGTAGCCATGTTTGCACTAAGCGAGGCATCCAACCAGTCAGACTCGTTTCGAGGAAGCTCTAACGAGTGACACTTGCGGCACCTGCGGACACGAAAATAAGAACATTGTCGCTACTCCTGCTTTGCTATAAAGGTTCCAATCTATAAAGCTATATGCGTTTCTGTTCGTCGAATCTCGAGAACATTTATCCAACATCCCACTATTGTTCTTTAATCAGTCATTCTTGGGTGTTTAACTGATTTTCTTTTCATATGGGTACACGCGCATGTGTGGGAATATGTTTTGATATTAGATAAATAGAAATTGTCCTGTACTGAAAATCAAAGATTTTAAAATCTTTTAATTTAATTCTTCGTTATTCTGGGTTGCAACAAAAATTTCATTTTATTTTTTCTTGACTTTCAGACAGAATTTTTCACTTTTTTCTTGACTCTACAAAATATTCTGATTCACTCCAAAAATTATTATAGATACTCAAAAAAATGTTGTAATTCTTTTATTTGCAAATTTCTGAAATTATACGAAAATATCAATAACTTCTTTTATAAATAAATATTTAATCATTATTATTTTTCCATATGAATTAAGATTTTCAAAAATTTTATATTTTAAATATCTTGAAATTTGATAATTTATCAAAATTGCTAAACTTTAACTACTTTAAAATTATTTTCAATATTTTCAATTCAATTTTCTGAATTGAAACTAAAATTCTTCTCTATAATTCAATTATTTTTAATGATATTTAGAGAATTCTATAAAAAACCTTATATATTGTTTAAAATTGTTAGTATTCCTTATTTATTCAATTTTTGAATGTGAAATTGTTAGGTAAAAATATTTATTTATTTTTTACATTATAGTTATTTTATATTTTAGTTGTTTCTTATTTATTCAATATTATTATTATTTCACATTTACTAAAAATCATTATTATTTTCTTTTTATTCAATTTTTGAATGTTAAGTTATAAGACAAAAAATTCTATTTATTTTCTAAATTATAAATTTTATAATTTTTTTTAAAGATTCCACTGCTTAATTATCTAATATTTCAAAACTTGAAAACTTTAATAACTTATAATTAATTGTCCTATTTTCTACATATGTATATACATATATATTTAAACAATATTGTTTTTGTATAAAATTTGCTGTCCGCAGACAGTTATTTAAAATTTTCTATAGTTAGTGAATCATATATAACTTTCACGATATTGCACAACTCTTGCAAATATACAATATGTCCCCTTTGTCTCACGAACTTTGCACTGATTACTGCCACTGAAATTATCATAGTAGGTGCATATCGAAACACAAAATCAACATGCACTTCCCATGAATAAGCAGTAATTGTTATCTTGTTACAGAAATTTTTTTTTTTCATTTTGCTTTTCTTTTTGTCAAAATTATTTTTATAGAAAGGGAATTTTTTCATTCTGTAATTTTTATTTACTCAAATTTTATTCATTCAAATTTTTTAAACCAATCAAACAATAATTTAATACTTTTTACTTTTATTTTCCTCTTTTATAAGATTGTTCATGTTTTAAATAAATAAGTAAACAATAATAATATTTATTTAATATTCGTATTTAGGCCTTTTTATTGCAAAATAATTAATAAACGATTTCTTTGGGGAAAAAAACATGAGATATTCCTGTTTCTTAATGTTTTTGTAGATAATTCTCACTTTTTTCTTTTGGAAATAATTTGCACACGGAGAAAAAGGAATAGTTGACACATCCAGATACATGGATATCACAGCCATATTATATTGAAAAATACGGGATATCCATAGTTAAGGTTGCTCCATCCATATTCTATGGCTGGCTGTATATTGTTGGAGCAGCAAAAGATCTATATGGTTGGGTGATCCATAGTAATGGAAATGGAAAACAAAAAATTGGAATCACTCAATTAATTAAATTCAATGTCACTTGAGATATTTTATATACATTTTTGTTAATTAATACACACCACTTATTGAATAACCGCATATTTACGAAATAAATTATTAAGCGATGGGGGAGACACGAACCCTAGACCTAACGCATACTAAACACTAACGCTATCCACTACACTATACACGCAACTACAATATTTGAGCATATAATATTCCTTATATACTCTACACATATTTCATGAAAATGAATTTACATAAAAACTAATAGACAATAACGATAATAAATAATGAACAATTATAACACTATTTATACACAATAAACTCACAACGTGATTATATAGACGTGACAGGAAACCGACGCGACGGACAAATTGAGACGACCATTTTTAAATGGATGCCATGATAATGAATTGCGCGCAACATGTATCGAAATTTTGAACTAACTATGGATCTCCCAACCAAAGTTTATATGGATGAGGCAGCCATATGTGAAAATCCATAGCATGAATTGTAAGCCCAACCATGCCTATGGATGTCACATCCATATTTGATTCAACAATATAATATGGCTCCTTCATCCATTGAATATGGAATGTGCTTCCATTCTGAAAGTTGTCTCTTCCATTGAATTGGATAACACAACAATATTCTGCTCAACAATATTTTTATGGATATCTCTTCCAGACCTTTTCTTTCCGTGCATCAATTCTATTTCATAATTTCAATTGTTTCAATAAAATTCAAAGTTTTTTAAAATAAAGGAAAAAAATGTTTATAAATTCTATTTGTCATTTACAAATTTTAATTGAATATGAAATTGAAAGTTTTTCAATTTTTAGAAAATAAAGGACAAAATTTTATTGAAAAAAATGTTCTGTTAAATTTATTTACGAATATCTTTAAATATAAAATTATTCGAAAACAATAA